GAGGGGGAGCGGTCTGGAAGTCCATCCTTAGGAGAGAATGATCTGACCATGACAAGGGCTCAATAACTATCTCCCCTAATACCAGATCATTTTGCCACTGGCCCGAGACAAAAATCAGATCCAGCGTGTGTCCACCCGTGTGAGTGGGGGCATGAATTAATTGGGTCAAGTCCAAGGCCGTCATGGATGCCAAGAACTCTTCCCAGGTATTAATGTTAGGCTGATTGGTCTGTAGTTTCCCGGGTCTGGTTTTTTTCTCTCCCCCGCCCCCTTGGCATTAAATAGCAATTACATCAAACAGAGGCAAATTCAAAAAAGGATAGGCAATCAAGTCTGAATTCCTATCCAAATAAGTTCAGAACTGCAATGGTCAGAATCAAAGCCTTGTTGAGAAAGAAAGGTTAATGAGATATGTTAGTAGTAGTTGTTCAGTCATTCATTCATTCACTTCTTTGTGACCCAAGGGACATCATTTTGCCAGGAATGTCTGTCAGTAACTGCCTCTTGAGTAATTGCAAGCTCCTGCTTGCGACAATTCTACTATTGTATGAAGTCTGAAAGTTCTGTTCATTATAGAATCAAAAGAATTTGTCATATTGACAAGACATTCCACATGGACAATATTCATGGGTGGGGATGAGAACAATACTTTTCCAATCTCTCAGGTTTGGGCATCTCATTGAGTCTTGTCATTCTGTACACGTTTTCCTTTTGGCAGTTTACATTACATTAAAAAAATTAAGGATAATGCAGGCAGTCTTATTCTCACTTTTGTTGGTGACAATCTGTTGTGTAAATCCCATTATTACAAGATTTCCATGTTCCCACTTTAATCAGTAACTTAACAAAGAACAAATTATTCAGCACATTACTGAGGGTTCCCAGATGGAAACTGCATCCCCAAGGAAAGATGGCTGCAGAAAATACAGGTGGAAAGGGAGACCTGATGAGACTATGTTGTGTGAAGTGCTACTTCTTGAATTTAAATATGTTTGTGTGTGTTGTGAATGCATGTGAATAAAGGAGACCTGCCAGAACAACTCGTTTGCATTAGCCAGCTCCATTGCCCTGTTGTCACAATGTGTTTTGCATCATTGCTAGGATTTGCTGATTTTGAAAACATAAATGGACCACAGCCAAGTCGTTGTATGCCTTCTGTTTCACCTTGAAATATTCCCCTATTTCTGCTACTTTTTGAAGTAGTATAACAATTGGGATCAGCACCTTGGTCCTTAAATAAAGCAGTTGCTAAGTGAAACATCACAATTTTTCAATTTTAGTTCAGCTTTGTCTTAAATACCTGCAAAAGTCATAAATGCAAGGATTGATCACAAAGTTACTTTTCTTTCACCATTGCAATGGTGAATGGTTGACAAATGAAGACCACCTGTATGAAGATGAGAATAACACAGATCTTATATGAAGGTTAGATTAAATACTATAATAAAGGACTAATATAAACACCCTCAAATACAGACAAAAGCTTTTTGAACTTTTAGAAGTATGCATGTTGCTTTCATGGAATTTCAGTAAATGTTTTAAGTGCTTACCTTTCAAACAGAAAGGGGGTGGTTTAACTCTAGGATTGGATCATGATGAAGTGCAAATATGCATTGAGTGTAACCCTAAGCTATCTGAAGGAACAGGAGCTTTTTTTCCTTTTCTTTTTTGTGACAATGAAGTCTGATCTCTTTAGGTGGGCAGAAAGTATCCTTTGCAGGATCTGTTGAGGAAGTCCCTACTGGATCAGAGAAGTCAGAAGATGGGGATGCCCCGGAAGAGGAGACAAATGTGAAACAGGAAAAGGGAGATCCAACATTAACAGGTAATGAAGCTGGGCCTTGGATGCAATGCTTGCTAAAGAGCACAATGTTAGGCCTTCTCTTTTTCTACAATTTGTTGCATTTCTTCTTTTGGAAAGAACCTGATTGTATGTTTTTTTCTCATGAAGGGACTCTCTGTTATTTTCATTTTTGCTTGATGGAAGAATACGTTATTCAGTTCTTTGTTTTTATGAGTCTTAAAGCCAGGGAGACTGAGAAACAAATGCAGTTCTAGGACTATGTCTGCTCATAAGGAAAGAGGGCTTTTCTGAAGAGTTATAGATGCAAACCCCTAATCATTCTCTGAAGCCAAGCTTGTGACTCTATTCCTATGAAAACTCTAAATTGCTGTAGTTAAAATTATATTTTGTGAAATAGATTGGCCCAAAGACAAGCAGAAACTTTGTCTCAGTCAGTTAGCACTATATAGCCATTATTTAAAAAAAAAAAATCTTGAAGGAGAATTGCTTAAAGTTTGTTGAACTATATATTTCTTTATAGGATACATTATATACACGTATATATTCCTTAGTTTATAGGATACATTAATATGGCATTTTTCTTCTAATGGAGAAATTGACTCAATTATTTGGCTGTCTGGAACTGTTTCCTTTTCAAATGTGTTCTCTTTATTAATGCAATCCTTTTTAAGATATAAGGTAGTCTAGGAAATGCAATTTATATTGGTTTGGGTGGGAATTTGAGGGGGGGGAAAGAGAAATCTGATTTTGGTTGGAATTATGCATAATAATTTCATCCCTCTCAGCCTGGATCCTGTGAACTAGCTTCTTCATCTTCCCAATTTATTTTTATGCTGTGATTCTCAAATAAAAAGCCTGGAAATTGTAACCTTCTTTAAAAAAAGAAAAGGAATATTTTCACACTTTTACAAAACTTGGGATTCCCATAAACCACATTTACATTGATTTGAAATAATAGTTTTAAAGCAAATTTTGTCTCTTCCTGATCTTTCTTCCCTTTGCTTCATAGATCATGACATGGAACAGAGTCACTCTGACTGGAAAGAGAGACCCCCCTGTGCTGTTAAACTGGAAAACCGTTCTTCTCCACCCCCCATCCACACCACAACCTAGCACTGGAAGTGAAGGATAGTTTGGGGAGATATCCTGTTGATGGCAATCTCTCATTTTTCACAAGACCAATTGGATTACTTCCTTTAATAACTATTTTTCCTCTAACTCTCTTTTCTGTTTTGAATTTGTATCTTATTTGGCAGTGTTTGGTTATGTTCAGTGAATTATTCAATAGAAGGGTTGAAGGGAAGAAAGGTGAATGGAAAGCTGCCTAGAAATGAACCTTCACGTTCAAAGGCACGATATCTCTGAGGGCCTGTTATTGTGGACATGTGGCAGAATGGCTGTTTTTATTGTGCCTTGCCAGTAGATTTCACTGCAAGGGAAGGAAGGAAGCCATCCAGTCATTGTTTGACCTTCAACCCTGGACTAGATGCTCATTTGGTGGGATCTAGCATGATCATTATTGGGTTTTTTTTAATGTTTCTGCTCACCCATCCAGACCTGATGATTATATGACCATGGTTTGTAATATTAATAATTACCTAAGGAAATCAGATTACTGAAGTGCTTCCAGACAGATAGAGCCTTGTTCTAGTAATAAAAAGGTATTATATAACTATGTTATTTTTCATTATTTAAAAATGGAAACTATTGTGTGTTGATGGGAAGGAGAAACAGAAGCAATATTATGCAGCAACTGGAAGCAATGGCCTATATAAACCATGTAAAATTTCATGAAGGAGATTGATTACACAATAAATTCCTTGTCTGGCAGCACTTCTTTTCTAAAAATGTTGCCATTTGATTTCTAAAAATCAAGTGTGAAAATTTGGTATTTCAGCAAGTAGAATTTATAGCTGGGTTCAGCTTAATAACCTAGAGAAAGATCTTTAACCTCTATCTCCCACATCCATTGTAACATTCAATGCTCAAAAAGCCATAATTCAAGATTTAATCATTGAATAGTTGAATTTTCCTTCTTCCTTCCTTCTTTCCTTTCTCCCACACCTTTCTCCCTGTGTATTGGGCAATGCCGTTCCATGTTTCTCTGCTCTATTAAAACTTTGTAAATAAATACTGCATTTAAAGAGTATTTTATGGAGGGAAGAGCCAACAATGAAAGTTTAAGCCACTTCTTTCTTAATGTATTAGCCAGGAACTACAGAAGGAAAAGTTTCATGGTTTTGTGGAGTTGACTTTCTGCAAACAATCTCTCTATATATAAACCAAAGTTCATTGGCAGTAGAAATATAAAAACATTAGGACAAATTTGGGAGAGTGGGAAGGAGGCATCCATTATGATTCTTCCAATGTTTATCCCCAGGAAAACCTCAATTTTGGCTTCTAAAACCAGCCCAAGCAAACCAGTTGTCAAATATTCAAGATTTGAGTTTTGCAGTATAGAAATCAAGAAATCAGCAAAAGTTTGCTTACTTAAATGTTCATTTATGTATTACTTCAACGTCTATGCTGCTTCAAACTTCATGACTTTAATCTGCAGTTAGTAAAGTTATTACAGTCTACCTCTCCTTTGTAGGGCACTTTTTAATGCAGTTTAAGATCCAGTTTTGTTGTTGTTGTTAATCAGTCACTAAGTCATGTTCAACTCTTCGTGACCACATGGACCACAGCATGCAAGGGCCCCCTGTCCTCCACTATCTCCCTGAGTCTACCCAAACTCATGCCCACTGTCAATGACACTATCTAATCATCTCATCCTCTGCCATCCCCTTCTCCTTTTGCTTTCCATCTTTCAGGGTCTTCTTTAATGAGTGCTCTATTCTCATTTTGGTGGCCAAAGTATTTGCATTTAAGCTACATTATCGGTCCTTCCAAACAATAGTCAGGATTGGTTTCCTTTAGGATTGACTGATTTGATCTCCTTGGGATCCACGGGATTCTCAAGAGTATTCTCCAACACCACAATTTGAAAGCATCAACTCTTCAGTTGATGGTACGACTCTCATAGCCATACATTACAACTCAGAAAACAATAGCTTTGATTATACAGACCTTTGCTGGTAAGGTGGTGTCTCTGCTTTTTAATATGCTATCTAGGTTTGCCATAGCTTTCTTCCAAGGAGTAAGCATCTTTTAATTTCATGTTTGCAGTTGCTTTTCTGCAGTGATCTTGAAGCTCAACAAATAAAGTCTATTACTGTTTCCATTTCTTCTCCTTCTATTTGCCAGGAAGTGAGGGGACCAGATGCCATGATCTTAGTTTTTGTAATGTTGAGTTTCAAGCCAACTTTTGTACTCTCCTCTTTCACCTTCATCAAGAAGCTCTTTAGTTCTTCACTTTCTGCCATAAGAGTGATATCGTCTACATATCTGAGGTTGTTGGTATTTTTCCCAGTACGCTTGTAATTCATCCAGCCAAATATTTTGCACGAGGTACTCTCCATATAAGTTAAATAAGTAGGGTGATGTTATATAACCTTGTCATACTTCTTTCCCTATTTTGAACCAATTAGTTGTTCCATGTCTGGTTCTATCTATTGCTTCTTGTTTATTGTGATCTACACAATCAAAGGATTTAGCATAGTCAATGAAGCATATGTTTTTCTGGAATTCTCTTGCTTTTTCCCTAATCCAGTGAATGTTGGCAATTTGATCTCTAGTCCCTCTGCCTCTTCGAAACCCAACTTGAACTTCTGATAGTTCTTGGTTCATATATTGCTGAAGTCTAGCTTGTAGGATTTTGAGCATGGCCTTGCTAGTGTGTAAAATGAGTGAAATTGTACAGTGCAATGGAACATTCTTAGGCATTGCCCTTCTTTGGGATTGGAATGTAAACTGACCTTTTCCAACTGTGGCCATTGTTGAGTTTTCAAAATTTATTGACATATTAAATGCTGTACTTTAACAGCATCGGCTTTTAAATTTTTAAATAGTTCCACTGGAATACCATCATCTCCCCTAGCTTTGTTGTTGGCAAGATCCAGTTTAGTGCCTTCCAAATGTGCTGTATCACTTCTTGCAGTTAATATCTATATGGGACATCAAATCATATATTTTAATGAAGCTATGAGATATGTCTATAGTTTTCAGGGAAGTGGAACAGGTTTTCTATAATACTAGCTCTGTGATCTGTGCGCATCTCCCTCATGAAAGCAATCAAAAAGGTGATGGTGGGTCTAAGTTAGAGCTCTGGTGAATATTTCTTTGGTAGGGAGGATGATATTACTTGCCTTGAAAAAAGTAACAGTGCACCCATACTTAAGAAGCCATCCTTTTATCCAGCTTTATGGAGTAACTAACAGGCTGCCTGCAATTTTCCCTTTCTTGGAAAGATGACTGAGAAGGTAAAGAACCAGTAGTTAAAGAGAGCTATGGATGAAACAGATTATCTGGATGCCTTTAATTAGGATTCAGGCTGGGGTGAAGATTGTTGTAGATCACCTTTGTGGGGACTGTAAGGAATAGTGCCACCTTCCTTGGCTGACTTCCATGACTCTTGATACATCAATTATGGTATCCTGCTGGATTGTTTATGAGAACTGAAAATTGGTGACCTTCAGGTTCTAGAGTAAGCCCATCTTTGACTCAAAATGGGGTTCTGCGCACTCATAGAGAATAGGAAAATAATCTGAAGGTATTCCTGAACTCATAGCTCCTGCTGGAAATAAAGATGAAAACAATGGTCAGGAAAGCTTTTACACAGGTTCAACTTATGCTCCAGTTGTGTCACTTATGTCCCTGTCACTTCACAACTTCATTACAGTCCCTCTTCTCTGAAACAGCTTAGCCCTAGAAACAGTCCTTTGTGTCAGAATTTTAGTGAGCTATTAAAACCAGGCTCTTCCAGAGTGTTTGGTGTATGAGGGTATTATAGATTGAAAGGAGGCACCAGAGATAGATGGGAAAAGTTATAATTGTGATACTTATATACTATTGATTTTGTGGTGGTTTGATTATTAAGCATTATTTTATTATTTTTAAATAAATTACTAAAAGTGAGAATTTGCTGTGTCTGTGGATTGAAGCACATAAAAGCCTAAATAAATAAATAATCTAAATAAATGTAGGTTGCCTGTACCCTTTTCTAACTATATGTTTTGTAATATATATTTCTAATCTTATATACTTACAACTCTTTATTTCCCTCAATCATGTCTAGTGTGTTTAAAAATTAGGTTTTAAAGCTTTTCTTGCATGAATGGATAAAAATTATGAATAGCTGATTATTTTCAGTGTATTAAAGGTGTACAAATGATTTCCTAAAACAGAAAAAGGCATAGATGGAAATTCATATTTTCAGAATTCTTGAAGCAAAACATTGCACTGTACTTAACTAAGCAATTTGCTTATTTGATTTGTACCACACCAATTACCACACCAATATTTTTTGTACCACACCAATATTTTTTCACATTTCTTAAAACTAACCTCCTTGTTTTCCTCTATTCAAGTTACTGATTTTGTAGGATTATGTAGGACTTACAGAAAATTTGGGAATTCTATCTAATCATCCTCATCACTCTTTGACTCTCCCCTCAGTGCACAGGAAAACTCTGATCTCTTCAGAGAGATATCTTTGTGTAACTACAGAAACTGTCTTCTTTAAGCTAGATCCCATATGAAACTATGTCTACAGCAAGGAACATTCTTATTGCCAGAAAACAACTTACAACCAGCCAACTGGCCTTCTACAAGGAAATAAGTAAACACAGCTGGCTTTTGGCACCCACCCCACTTGAGGATACAATACAATGGATGTTTTCAGACATCTTCACTGCTTCAGCCTTGCTTTTCTTAATCTAGCCCTTTCTATCCAGGAGAGCTGTGCAGCTCATTGTGGCTTATCCTCAAGTAGTTTGTTGTGCAATAGGATGCAATGGCAAAATTTTGAGGATAGAATGTTATCCAAATGTTGGAATTTCATCAAGTAGAAAGTCGACCCAGCTTCTACTGGCCATGTTCAGTTGCATTATATATTCCCCCTTCCATTCCAGTTATTGAGCATTTATCCTCTAAGGCAGGCATGTCAAACTGCCGGCCCACGGGTCGGATGCATCACGCCAAAACCACACCCATCCCATTGCCGGCAATGGGAAAAAAGTCCCGATACGTCACACATCACGTGACGTCATGAGTGTGACATGTCTGCTCTAAGGCCATTTTGATTTGTGTTGCTAGGCTAAGAAGATACATACGTGACTTCTACATGCCATTGCCCATTTCTAGGCTAGGTTTTAATCAGAGGCCTTATTAACTTGTATTTGCTATTCTTGCAAAATGGTGCTAGACCTCTTTAAAAGTCATGTTCACCATTTGTGAGAGAGTTCTTCAAAAAACACTAGCCTTCTCTTTTTAAAATAAAAGGCCTGGAGGAAGAGAAACAACAAGATGAATACTGAGAGTAAGACGGCTGTGAAAATCATTTTCCAACATTGTTCCCATTATACACACTGCAGAAACAGCAATGCACATGACTCTGAAATGCTAGACCTCACTTTTATAAGGAGGGAACAACAGTGAGATCACTATAATATCAACAGCAACATCGTCATGAAGATTTCTCTTCACACTGTTCCTGTTAAGTGTACTGTAATTGGAGCAGCAGTCAACATAAATCTTCACAGCTGTCTGTAAAAAACAGAACAGCACCTGAAGATGAGATAAAGCATGATGGAGTGGTTCACTATTGCCTTCTCCCTGCAGTATGAAATGATGCCTTTATCATTGTTACTGATCACTTCTAGCATCTTCTTATATGGCTGTTGCTCAATGTAGTTGCCTGTGCGATTTAACTGGACTACTGGGATAAACTTCATCCCTTAGCAGTATATCATCTTCTTTTAAATTCCCAGAATTCTTTATCCTCCCACTAAGGAACAACAGCTCCTCTCCTCTCCCTCCATACTGAGGAAGCACAGTACTAGAGAGGAAATATTTGCTTAACCATGGCACAGGTATAACTAAAACCAAACAAATCATAAATGGCTGTGGGAGGCAGGAAGCAGATGTGGGTGTTTATTTTCCAGTAACACCTTCAGCAGAAATGAAGGACAGAAGCCCTATTGCTGGTGGCTCTACACATAAAGAGCCCTTTTTTTTTTAAAAAAAAAGGAAATCTAACAGACATAACCAAAAAGTTTTTGATAAATGATGACTATTATTGCCTCTCTTCCACAGAAATAAGCTACAGCTTTAAAACTTTTCTGATGATATTTGATACACCTTTAATAATGCTTTATTATTTTTTAAACCAGAAAGAAATTGAATAAAGAAAAAAATTAAATTAACAAAACTGCAATCAATTCAGTTCACTGCTATTAAATATAACTGCAAACTGTCAATATCTAAAGAATGATTGAAAGTTGTTACAACATTGACTTCCGGTTTGCCGATGCGGCTGCTGCAGACGCTTGGAAGGCGACTCTGTCTTCCACGTCCGATTTTCCTTCGCTGGGGGACCCTGGAAAGGGTCAAAAGTCGCCTTGTAGGGGCGGCGAGCAAGGAGAGGACACCCACTCGATCTGGGGCAGCCCTCCAAACTGGCGGAGAAAAGACCGGCCATAGCAATATGGCTCGTCATTAGGCTGCAGACAGCCGAAGTCAAATCTACTACC